TCAACAACTCTATATTTATTTGGCAAGAGATAGCCGTGCGCTCTTGTTGTTATAATAAGCCGGGCCAACACATTATTGATAATTTGCGCATATCATAAAAATATTAAACAAAATAATATGCAATAAATTTGTGTGTACTCCTTTGGCTTTGCTCTGGGTGTGAACTATAAATTTTCTACTCGCTGCTGCTGCTCGGCTACTCGCTCTTATCTGAGTAGGTTAAACGCGTTGGGTCAACGTGCAACAATATTTGCATAATCTTTGAGGCCGGGCATTAGGCAAACATCGGAGCGTGCCCGAGAGATGCAGCTGCAAGATCATTAAGTCGAAAGCAAAAGTGAGATATGGCCCAATGTTTACTCGAGCGAGTGGCGAGCGGCGAGTGGCGAGTAGCGAGTAGCGAGTGGCGAGTGGCGAGTGGGCCAAATCGAGCGGGTCGCAATTAATGAATGAAACAGTCGTCAAATCAGTACAAATCCAGGCTAATAATCATCAACATCATAATTAAAGTGGCATAAAAATCAGAATATGGCAACCATATACAATATTCATTGTTCATTGTTCATTGTTATGGTCGGGGCATATAATTTAATAGCGATATATTATGGCGATATTCTCTGAAAGTAGCATTTAATTTAGTTTTTTATAATTATTGCTACTTTATTGTATTGTTAAGCGATTAACGGCACAACGTATATACGTATATATAAATATTAACTGGACTGCAAATCGCGGCCATAAAAAGAGTAGCAAAAACGTGTACACAATAAGCTTGACACGTTTCTAAAAAGTCGCTCAATCAGTCCGTGCGTCCGTCAGTCAGTGCGTCCGTCCGTCAATCAACGGAATTATGCCTAAAGATATGCATGAGGCACTGATATTTTATTTACACGCAAAATATTTGCGCGTACAACGCGTCGTATGAGCTATTTTGATTGACAATCGGATTTTAATGTCGCAGCTGGGGCTTAGCGAACAGCGACATTTTTTTGTTTATGACAAAAGGAAATATGTTGACTGAACACGGTTTATATCTAAGTTAGCAATTGTTCACATTTCATTTCACTTTTTTTTTAACAGTTTTTTTCTTTTCCAGTTTAGCTGATAAACGTGTAAACAATTTAAGATCAGAAACTTGGCGGAATGCCGGCATATTGTTTTGGCCTATTGAAAACTGAAAAAGACTTCATCGAAATCTTTTCTCTATTTCCTGGCATATATCATTGCGTAACTGTGTATACTAGGATTATATATTTCTAGAGCTGGAAGACTTATAAGCAAAGTTTCTATTTAAATCGATTTCCTCTGTTTCCCTGGCACATATCTTTCCGTATAACCTTACGCATACTCAACTTTATTTCCTCTTACTTTAATTACATAAACAAGTCTGATCCAAAACTAAGTCTCTATATAAATCGATTTCGTATCCTCACTTTAGGCTTATTTATATTTACACGCTCAAAGCCAACTTTAGCCTGTCTTAAGTTGCCCAATCGAATTCCCTCTGTCTTCTCCCTCCCCCCTCAAACTTGTTACCCGGTTAAAGTTCCTAAGGCTGACAAATCCGCGGCGCCTGCAGCACACACAATAATGTATCTATATATATATATTTGATATATATACATGATCGTAAGTCCATATTCAACAACTTATAGAGAACACGCAGAGTACATGTGTATATATGGAAAGGGCTTTCCAGCTACTTAGCAGCAACAAATTTCAGTTATTACCAATATCAATGCCAATACAAATAACAAAACGCGGCGCAATATTTAAACAACTAAGTCCCAAGCAAATGGAGCTGATGGATAAAAAAAAAAAAAACAAAAACAAAAACAAGCCACAAGTTGTGTGTGCGAGTGTGCGAGTGTGTGTGAGCTAATCCTGGCATGTCAATCATGGATAGCGTTTGTCAGACCCAATGTCGCTCTGCCTATGCCACATAGATGATCATAATGATGATGACGATGACGATGATGATGATGATGATGTTGAACTGGGCTAATCAAGCGGCGGACTTCATTTTGACACATGCCCCAGGCCACAAATGCTGACGGCAATGCGCACAAAAACCAAATATTGATAGCACTGATAACGATCGACGGGCGACATCGACGGGCGACTCCGGCGAACAACATCGACGGATACGGCCCCGCTGACTGCAACGGGCCAGCTAGTGGCCATTTTTAATCGCTTATCATGCAACCAAATAGCGCACGTCGCAGTCGCAGTCGACGTCGCAATTCATATGGCCTATGGATGGGTCTACACTCAGAGAAAAGCTAGACTAGGTGTTCTTTATAATTCAAGCATATTTTCTTAGCCTAAATCTGTTTTAATGAGAATGTCAGAATTAAGCACATGTTTAATTAAAGAAAAGAGAGAGAGAGAGCGAGAGAGAGAGGGAGAAGAAGAACTTCTTAGTTGAAGCATTCTTTATTAAGTCTCGGATTTCGAAGTCTGATCTAAAGAACTTCGTTCTTTGGCTGCGTATTGATATTTAGGAATTTTGATATTTTTTAGAAAATAACTTTTACAACAAGAATTTTGTCTTTAGACTAAGAAAGGATATTTTTCAATTTGGGTACTTGGTTAAAAAACTCTTGAATTAAAAACTTTTTTTATCTGGATATTTGATAATTTGTTAAATAAGAATTTTGAACTTCGCTCTCTTCAGGCATTTTGTTAGCCAGGAAAAGAAATGTTGGAGTTTTGTTGCTTAAGAAAACAACTCTTGAAATAAGATGATTCTTTTCTTAAGAATTGATATATGGGAACTTTATTTTAAGGCAAACTCAATAGATACTCCTAGACAATTATGTTGTCAGCCACCTTTTTTTTGTTACAGTGTATCGTAATTTGATATTGTTGTTTTTTTTTGGGGCCAGACATTGGGGCAACACGAATCTAGAGCCCAGAGCATACATGTATGTATGTGCTCTATAGATAGCTCTACCTATTCCCTACACTTCTTTTTCCTACTCTGCTTCTTCCTCCATTTCTGATACATTTATAAATTTTGTGCATATTGACACGTTAAATCTCAATGTGTCATGTGGCATTAAGTTTTATGCCCAGCCCAATGGAACATAAAGACATGTTGAATCCCCCCACCCCACCGTCCCCCTCTACGCCTATATCAAGCCGTTCCTGCTGCCAGCTTATCGTAGGGCCAAGTTAAAGTTTCTTCCTGGTCGCTCTCATAATTCGGTTCGGTTCGGTTTGGTTTGTTTTTTTTTTTTTTTATTTTTAATAATGATTGCAAAGATTTGGCCATAAATGTCGCTATTTAGTTTTTATTGGAAGTAATACTAATTTTTATTGGTTTATTGGCTATATTGTTTTAATCAATACGCCAAACGGCGCCCTTATCGGCCCATAACCAGGCTATGGCCCGCAGATAACGCACACGTTTCGATACTTGGTATCACCCCAAAAAAAAAAAAAAAAAAAAAAACAACTAATATATATATATATATATGATGGGAGGAACATAGAAACCCCGGACCAGGTAACATTGACAGGCGGCCGTTGATTTCACAAAGGTTTTTCATTCTATAGAAACGCAATCCCCCCCCCCCCCCCCCCCCCCATTCCCCTTGCCGGGCAAGTGCTGCTAATCTAATCGCGAAAACCCCGCCTCAGCTATTGAAACAAAAGTACAAGCAACAAAAACAATAACAATTGCCGAAGAACTTTATTGCCACACCCAATTGGCGGGATTGGACACGTTTTGTGAATCGAATGACACGCATGTATATACCCCACTGAATGCCCGAACATAGGGTAGAATTTGCGTTCAAAAGACAGAGAGAGAGCGAGCGAGAGAGAGAGAGAGATTTTTGTGTGTGCGTCGTATTGTTTATTATTTATACGAATAATAAATAAAATGCATAATCTTAATTTGTCATCTTGACCCGTTAAAGGATTACAAATAACAACGGCGGGCCCAATAAACGTTAATTGCATACCAACCGATTTTATGGGCTTAATGGATATCGTTGTCGATATCGAATGTCGTCAACTTCGAAACGGGCAGCGCGGCCATAAATTGTAAGCGCTTGCGCACGTGTTTTGGCATGTGTGTGTTTGCTTGTGGGTATGCAAGTGCCTAAGCATGTGTGTGTGTGTGTGTGCATTGGCATTTGCATCGCTGTAAATGTTAATGCTCTGTTATGTAAATACAAGAGAAAAAAAGAAGTGCTCGAAGCAGGCCACAAAAATGGCCGCCGAACAGCGACAAGCATAATGTAAAGCCTTAAGCTTTTGACATTTAATGTGAGCGTGCGAGAAGTGAATGGAGTTGAGGCTTGACAGAGTCAAGGAAGCTTTTTCAACGACAACAAAATGACTCAATGCAAGTGTTTGGATCTAAATAAATAGTGAACACCTAACATTCTATTCATTTGATGCCTATTTGAAACACTTCTCGAGCCGCTAATTGCTGTGAGAGCAGTTCGCTGCCTTTTCACATCTATTTGCATTTTTCATTAGAAACTGTGGAATCGATCGTATCCATTGAATATTCTTTCCACTCTTCTTTTTCTTCTTCTTTTTATAGTTAAATTGATTTACGACACAAAATTAGTCAACAGAATCGACAAGTTTTTCAGGCTGCGACCGCTGAGCCTGGGGCATAAATCAAGGCGGTGCGCCGTAAAATGAAGACAAACATTTGATTTTTATGAGCTAATGGCCCTTGGAGGTGCGCTCAATTCGAGCACAAATTGCTTACGGTTTGTTATAAAATTATGCTTCCATCTCTTTCACTCCCTTTGAAGCGCGAACAGCACGAGCTTTGGTCGAACGCGGAGGTAGACAATGCTTGCGATCTGTTGTTGCGGATGAGCGGAAAACCCCAGAAAGGTGACTAAAAGCGAATTCGAACTTGAATCAAAACAAAGCAGAGACATTCCGTTCGTGCAGCTTAGCTGAGTAAATCGGAGCGCGCACAATTCACCACACACAAGAGTGCATACTGTGTGTGTATGTGTGTGTGTGTGTAATGAAAGATCGTGTGCAGCGACAATGCAATTTGAATTAACTCGCGCTCGAATTGGCGTCCAAGCCCGTTATATTTCGCAATACACAGCAGAAAAAATGTTAGTCTATCATAGCTGAGATTTTGATACTGAGCTTTTACCACCGTTTAGTGGTCAATCTTCAAGGCTTGGCAGTCGATAGCTTTCAGCTCAGTTAGCTGCTTAATTCAGCGCAGATGAGACGTGTGTGCGTGCGTGTGTGTTTATAAATTAAGATCGTGTGTGAAAACGCAGTAGAGTACTTAACTCGCATCGCAAACAAGGAATTGAAGAACTGCAGTCGAACTCTGATTGTCAGATTTTGCAAAAGATATTGTAAAGTAAACAGCTTTTCACTCGAAAGTGAACTCCAATTGGAATGTGCTCAAAACGAAGTGAGTTGAAAAAAATAAACTCGAGTCTAACTTTGACTGTGAGTTGGCTTTTACCGTTATATAGTTTATCTCTTCATCTCAACTACACTAGCGTCAAAATGTTAGTATATATGATGTGTGTAGACTTACCCGGCTGCGGTTGTGCTGGATATGAGGGTTTCTTCATCCATTCGTAATATTGCGTCTTCGCTGGCGATGTGCGATGATTGTTGTTGGCCGTGATGCTGTTGTTGTTGTTGTTGTTGTTGTGTGTCGAGGGGCTGTTGTTGTTGTTGACGCTGCCCGCTGCACTCAAATGATGGGTCAAATGGTGCGGCGAAGAGGCAGAGGTGGGCGCACCCGGACTAGATATCTCACTGCCCGAAACCGTTATGGGCGGCGATGGCAAACCCTCGGCAATATGTTGTTGTTGCTGTTGCTGCTGCTGCTGTTGTTGTTGCTGTTGTTGTTGTTGCTGTTGCTGCTGGACATGAACTGCCGCCTCGTTTGGCTCGTTCAGCTGCGTGGCGCCCGGCGCTGCACCACCCACCGGCGGCGCAGAGCCGCTGCTGCCGGAGCTGGCCGAGCTGCTGGAGCCGCCGCTGGGCAATCCGCTGTTAATGTGCGCCGCATGATGCTGTTGCATCAGCTGATGCGCCGTTGTTGGCACATTCTGCACAAAGTTCTCGCCAGCCGCCGAGCTGGAGGCGGGCGAATGCCAATCGCTGGCGCTGGCCGCCGCCGCCGCCGTATGGAACATGTGCGGATTGTAGTACATTTGATGGGCGGCTGCATGATGGGCAGCGGCATGCGGTGAGTCCACGTCGCTCAGGAACTGATGATTGGGCGGCGTATGATAGTTGGTTGGCCAGTTCCAGGGTTGGCCCGCAGCCGCAGCCGAGGCGTACGCCAGATTGGCGTTGTGCTTTTGCGAATACGGCAGTGTGTTGTAATAGTGCGAAACCATTTTGAGGTTAGGGCGCGCAATCAAAACTGTTTATCTTCGAAAATGACTGTTTACTGTTTATTTATGTTTGTTAATTTTTTTTTAAGCAATTTGCTTGGGTTTTTTTTATTTTTTTTTATTTTTGCCTCTGTCTTTAAAGCGCTTTTTTTTCGCTCTTTGTTTTATGTGCACATTTTGCAAGCGTTTGGAGAAATTTGCTTTTGAACTTTTTCGCGCTTCCTTTTTGTGCGCTCTTTTGCACACACACGCACACGCACGCACTTTAGCGGAGTTTGTATTGGTATTGGTGCGATCTATCGATAAACACTTAATTGTAAACCCTTTAGTATTTTCTTCTTTTTTTTCCAATTTAAAACACGCGTGAATTTTGTGTTCACTTTTCCTGCGTTCTCTCAACTGCCGTTGCGTCTGGCCTGTTGCGCCGTTAACCGCAGTCGAATACGTACTGAAAGCAACCAGCGTCGAACACTGATAAAAACAAACCGAAAGAAATAAAATGTATGAAAAGGGAGCCGCGCTAACACCAGCAGCAGCGACTGCCGTCTAGCTAGTCGTCTCGCTCGCACGCACGCCAACCAGCCTGAGTGGGCATATTTTAACCCTCATTTCCGTTGCGTGCCTGAAATTCAAGATGGCTTGTGTTGTTTTTTTTTTCTGGCCTGTTCGCTCTCTCTCTCTCGCTCGCTCGCTCGCTAGCCAACGACGTCCCGCTTGCACATGGCTGGCCGTGTGGCTCCGCCCCGTTTTGGCCAGGGCTTGGCCAGGTAAACCGGCTGCCGAAGACGACGATGGGCGTTTGAGCCAAAGTATGTATAGAAATAAAATACCCCTTTTTCCTTTACGACTGCTTCGATTTGTACTATAAACTAATATTGCCTTTGGCTATCCCTAATTAAGTAATTCCATGCGAGTGTGCATTATGCAATTAGTGGCCGTAAAATCATGTTTGTAGTGCCATAACGACGGATTTCATTTATTGCACTCCATGTACATGTACATGTACATATCATTCATTCAGCCTTTGCCATATTGATGTTCAGATTTTTCTGTTTTATAGAGCTAGTTTTCTGTCAGAGTGTGTGTGTGTGTGTGTGTGTGTGTTTGCAGAGCAATTGTTACTTTCCCATAAATATCTCGCTAATTGCATAATAAGTGGAATAACGCCTGAGAACAGCTCAAATATTGGCTTTAAATTAAAAGTTCAAATTGATTATAAAACGTCTAAATATTTATAGATCATCGTCAATTGTTGTCATAACGGATAGGAAGAGATATATTGAAGAAAGAAGAACGTATATAGGAAGAAGAAAAAAGAATATATTTAGGAAGAAGAAAGATCATCGAAAGAATATATATAGAAAGAGGAAGGGACATATATGGGAAGAAGAAGGAATATTTATAGGAAGAAGAAGGAAGATATATGGGAAGAAGGAAGAGAATGTATACCGAAAGAAGAAAGAACATATACGGGAAGAAGAAAGGGCATATAAAGAAAGACGAAAGAAGAAAAAACATATATAGGAAGAAGAAAGAACATAAAGAGGAAAAAGAAAGGGCATATAAAGAAAGACGAAAGAAGTAAGAAAGGGCATATAAAGAAATAAGAAAGAACATATATAAGATGAAGAAAGAACATAAGAAGGAAGAAGAAAGAACATATATGAGAAGAAGAATGAACATATTTAGGAAGAAGGGTGAAAATGTATACTGAAAGAAGTAATAACATATAGAGGAAAAAGAAGGAACATATAGAGAAAGAAGAAAGGGCATATAAAGAAAGACGAAGGAACATATAGAGAAAGAAGAAAGAACATATATATCGCAAGAAGAAGGAATATATAGGCATATAGAAGACTTGCGATTTCGAAAATGGTAGTTTTCATCAAAAATTAAAAACTACCTACAGGAACCATGTGATTTTGTGTTCCGATATGATATGGAATTATGCTAAAGTAAAGAAATACCGAATATTGATCAGGCTACAATAACTTAACCATCAAAAGCCAAGAACATTTCTCAATCGCTTTTTGACAGACTTTTTGCCATATGTTGTCAAATTTACTCAAGAAGAAGCTGATTTCAATTGAATTAGGCTAACAAATCGCAGCTGAAGGCAAGACGTGGGCGCAAACCTTTTTTTTTTAGGGCTTCCAGCCTTGATCTAAGCTAAGGTCATAAAACACGCAACCTTTTTGCTGCCGAACCAAAAAAAAAAAAATAATAATAATAAAAGGCTGCCAAAAGTAACGGAAAACGCAAACAATTTTTCACCTTCGACAACGATTGAGTAATCCGTTACAAGTTCCACGAACTTCTCGCCGAGATTAGCTAAAAAGCGCATTCATTGATCGAAAGGAGAAAATGTTAGACAAATGCATGCTCGGCTAACACAAAGGACAATTTCACGCAGGCAGACCAGGACAAATTTCGGTCCACTTAAATTGCACTTTGTTGGACGGCAAATGCTGCTGCTGCTGCTACCTCTGCTGCTGCTGGTCTGGTGTCTGGTGTTGGCCAAACAAAAAACCCCTTAATGCCCACACAAAAACCGAAAACATTGTTGAAACAATTGTTTTATTGTGGGCCGCGAAACGTTCGAGGACAACAAACAGGACGAGCCGAAGGGAGCGTGTCATAAAGTTCGCACTACAATTAGCTGGCCGCAGGCCATATTTATCCTACTCCCATTTCGTTGCTCTTCTTTTCTTTTCTTTTTTTTTCGCAAAGCGTCTAGAATTCAAGGGAATTTACGAATAGGCCATGTTGTTGTTGTTGTTGTTGTTTTTTTCACCTTCGCGCAGGCAAGTCATGTAATAGGCCATAATGTTTACCTGGAAGTCATTAGGGGCGCAATCTGCTCGTGCCTCGATCGGGCGACAAGAGGCCTTAAACAAAACCAAGAAAAACCCTTCTAATGCATTTACCAGTTATTATTATTGTTATTATGACTCACCTTCTGTGGCTCGTAAATTAGAATATGTTCATAAACAAAGCATTAAAAAAAAAAACAAAAAACAAGATGAAAAAAAAGCATATATATTCGAAAATGCAATTATGCTAATAAAACCATAAAGAAAGCGCCTCGTAAATCAGCCCCGGCAATTAGATCCAGCGAGAGCAGCTCGAAGAAACAGCATACGATCTGCACACATGCATACATATGTATATACCTGTATATATACCTGTTAGATAGACCCACCTTTGCCGTCGCCAGACTCGAATGACGCTTCGCTTGATTGGCTTGTCGGGCTTTTTTTTTATTTTGTCGCTCTTGGTTAATTTGTACGTTGAAGAGTTTTATGGCCATGACTGCGCAGCGGAATGGGCCCAAAACAAAAAAAAACAGACCCCCCCCTCTCACATGCCTCCCCGCACCGCTACACAACACGCAAGTGCATTTTGCGTTGTGCACGCCTTCATGTATGCCGCGATAAACCTTTTGTTGTTGTTGCTGTTGTTAATCAAACAAATTAAACAACAACAGCAACAACAAAATAAATAAATAATGTATTTTTGGATTTTGGAAATTTGACAAACTGGATTCGCTCATAAAACTGATAGCATGATTCCGCCTTCAATCACTTTAACAATTTAATCTTCAATTCGTTAAGAGTCAAAGTTTGTCAAAAACTTGGCTAAGATATAGTTTTAGCCAACTTCAAACGTTTTTGCTTGAAAGCTATCTACGAGAATTTATTGTTTTTTCCAGCTTTTATTTTCGTTTCGGCCAAGCTTTTTGCTTCAATTGTGGATATTTGCTATAAACAAAAAAAAAATATTTTAAATTGTTTCAAAATTTATATAGAAGTTTATCGAACTCGAATCTCAGGATATTATATGTTATCATAAGAGCTGAGCTAAGAAAAATGAGCAAATTGTCGACTCCCCGCCTTATTTTACAAATCTTTGGCCTAGGTTCTGGCCTGTTCCTTGGTTTCTTCAATTTGATTATCCAAAGTTTTCACATATTTGAAAAAATGTCCATAAAGCAATTCCAATATTTAATAAACAGTTCGCAAGGGCGTTTCTTAAAATCTTAAGACCAGATGTTAATACATAAACAAATTTTCGTACATTTTCAAGATTTCAATTTTTAATATACAATTCGCCTTACTGATTTTCCATAACTTAAGCACAATTTTTGGGCTTTCTTTTCTTTTCATATTTTCAAGAAATGTCTATGAAAGAATTCCAATTTTTTATATAAAGCTGCCCGTTGCTCTGAAAATATTTCAAGCTTTAAATATTTTCATATTCAAAATGCGGGCTATATTTGATTTTCAAACAAAATTTGCAGCTAGCAAATATTGTTTGCCAAAAGCAAAGATTTGTAGCTAGGATTTTGTTTAGATTTTAACCAAAAAAGAATTTGCTAAGAGGGCCTTTAGTTCATCTAATGGGAAAACTTGGCGAAGCTGTTCCAGTCAAAGAATAATATTGCTATTAAAAAGTAAAATTTATAATTTATAGAAACTCTTGTTCATAAAAGGAATTGCCGCTGCAACACGGCTTCAGCTGCATTAATTAGGAATTAAAACACATTTTGAATAGATTTCAAGTTTTTGGGGGAATTTTATTCCTAAATTATTAGAAAATTATATAATTACAAAGTACGATTCTACGACAAATTAGTTTAACTGCTCGATTCGTTTAGTTGCTAACAAATTATCGTTTAAAAACTATATAAATATGTGCGAACATTCTGTCGAGATACAAAAAAAAAAAAAAACTATATAGATAGATAGATAGATAGACATATTAACCAGCTGTTAAATTTAGCAGGCAGATAAACGAGTTAAAATAGAATAGTCAAAGAAGAATGCGTCTTGGGATCAAATTAAATACAAGAGGAATTCCATAATGTTAAGATCGTTTGTTCTGGTGCCCCGAAAACGAAGTGCACAACAATTCACATGATAAACAACAATAAAATCTATTTAAAAAAGGAATCAATAGAGCCAAAAGCGTGTGAACAAAAATGGTGTCTTGACCAAATGAACAATGTTTCGAAAATGTTGCTCAAAAAAGCGTATCAAAAATATATGTATTTATCGCTGCTGCATTAGCCCCCGATACGATATGTATATATAAATATATATATATATGTATACTGTTGTGTGAATTATAGACCGATTTATCTAGTATTTTGCGGCTGTTCCAATTTAGTTGCTGTCTGGCGATCTTTGAATAGCTTCACTTAGCTCCAGTTTGTGGCTGATATAAACAAGGCTACAGATCTAAGCACTTAGTTGTCTATACGTCTATTTATATATATATATACACGGCCGTTTAATCAAATGCCCATACTACGCCGAGCCCAGCACCTCGTTTAGTATCATCTCGCGGGTCATGAACTGCCCGTTGTTGACGCGTGTTCTTGACCGGCTGCGACTGAGCTGGGCGCGTCTCTCGGCGCCCGCCGGTCGCTGGCGACGCGGCTGCCGATTGCGCTGCC